TATGTATGTATGTATGTATGTATCTATGTATCTATCTATCGATCTATCTATCTATCGATCTATCTATCTATCGATCTATCTATCTATCTATCTATCTACATATCTGCCTGCAGACTGTCATGACTTGCATTGCAAGTCAGCATTGTATTATTAAGAGTAATTTTGTCAACGACTTATAGTACCTCCCCTGAAAACCTGATCTATCTGACGTATTTTCTATTTTTGTCTCCTTCTGACCAGTGATCAACTGGCAGGATGACGACTGGCCAGTGACGACGGCTCTACAACTGACAGCAACGCTTACCTCCCCCGACTGTCAGCGACGGTTCGAATCCTGTCGAGAGGATTTTGCACGTGGAAGTGTCAGCAGCTATTGCCAGCTGATGGAGGAGTATAAGTGGTGCATTGTGGGAGGAAGCAGTACGTGTTCTGATGACGACTGGAGCAACTTTAAAGACTCTGCGTGTAACGGACACAGTGGGCCAGCCTCTCTCAACATTGTCACATTAGCCCTGCTGCTCATGCTATCTGCCTTTTTATTGCGTAACTTTGTTTAGGTGGAGCCTGCCATCATAACTTGGAAACAAGAAAGTGGGGGGTTTCTTGTTGCTGTGTGTGTGTGTGGTAGCCTATCCGTACGAAATGTTTGGAGCCCCGAAGAGCGTGCTCTTCGCCAGGGTCACCGCCTCCCTTCTTGTTGCTGTTGTTTTATTTTTGTGGGGTTTTTTAGAAGATGCACTTCAGAGTGCGTGCACATTTGTCTGACTGCATTATCTGACCGGTTCTGAAAACTTGAGCTCCTTAGATCGTTCAGGTATTTCAAACAGAAACAAAGAAAACATAATTTAACACTTAAGAAGAATAAGACAGAAAACGACCCCACTGTCTTCCTGCACATCAATATTGACTGACAAAGTCGAAGTTATACCAAATCTGATAAAAGGCTTCCGAGACAAATGTGTCAAGCAAGAGTAGATCTAGCTGTAAAAATCACACAGCAGCCTGCAAAATCGCGTCAAAGGTCTGTTTTTACCAACCTTGGAGCTTGGAGTACTTGAGTAAAGTAAGCACATTGACGCAATAATAGTCATTTGGTGCTTGGAAAAAGTAAGACATACAAACAGAAACAACAGAGGCAAAGTAAAGAAGTAGGCCCTACCAGGGTCTCCCCCCCCCTCCAACCACCCATCCACCTTGAAAGAAAGACCCAAAGGCACGAAAAGCCGTGGTAAAGAAAGGCCACATATATTCTCACAACTGGTGAGAATAGCTCATGAACCGCTATTCTCACCCCCACCCCGATGACAGCATGAGGCGAGCCTTAATGTTCTTTAAAGTAAGCTATATCTAGATCTATAATTGTGAGGACCCGTAGGTAACAGCTGCGTTCTGCTCTTGACATTTCGTCCTTACATAACCCTAGATCTAGATCTAGATCGTTGTTTTTTTTAATGGGGTTTTTTTCACTGTTGTTTGCTGTTCATGGTGCGAAATGGCCTACATCCAGCCCGTTAAATAAACTAAATCTGAAACTTATCTGTACAACTTATAAGTTATTCTCTGTGCAGTTCAGCGTGTGTCTGTGCTATAGACTAGGCCTATTGTAAGTTAGCACACCTCAGGTGGGTGAGAATAGCGAGACATAGGGCCATAGGCTATTCTCACCCCCCTGATGAGAATAACCACTCCCATAAAGAAAATACATGTATTGCGCAACAACCGGTGTTTTGATAAGCAGCCTCAAAGATAAGGTTTGACAAACTTTTCCAACCCTATAAAGACGAATGGGACAGAAAATTATTATGCCCGATCAGCAGCGGACTAACAGAAAATGTAGCAGCATATTCTACACCAAACCATTCTACACAAATCAGAAACAGGTATTTGCATATTTCACTGAACAGATATTATTATTGTTGTTGCCTGTCTTTTTAAAATTTAGACAAAGAAAGTAGGATTGAAACGTTTAGATGATCCAATAAGTTATGTTTCCTTTTTAAAGTGCAACAAATTTAATGTCGAATCCTCAGTGAGTTAAGGTTGAAGTGCAGTGTTTATCCCTTTTAACCCTGTGCTGGGCTCCTGAGTAGTTTTATTCATTCTTAAGTTATACTTTTCTACAGCTCATTTTAGTGTTGATCTCATCGATTTATCTCATAATAAGTTTTTTTTATTGTAATGCTATTTCTACACTGGTGTGCGAGTATACGTCATATTTAGGTGGGTGTGTCATGCCGATATTTCGGTACCCAAGGGTATTTGCAGCGTTGAGTTCAAACCGATATTTCAGTACAGAGGGGGGTTCCATAGGGTTAAACATAGCATTTGGGCTGTGTGCCACTGAAGCCTAATGGGATTTCGCAATAACTTCTTTGGCCTTCTTCTTGATTTTGACACACCATTGAAATCTTTCTTGGCGCATATTACAGCGTCCCCCCCCCCCCCCTCAGGGCAGTGCTATTGACTGAAGTTATCTTTAGGCCATTCCCAAAGGGGGGGGGGGATATTAACATGTTCTTATCCTCAGTAGAATTGTAAATGAGCTGATTTGTCAATGTCATGCTCAAACTGTGCCGGAGCAACATAGGGGCAACTGTTGCTTTTTCTTTCTTCATCCTCACTATCGTCATTTTCCTCTACTTATTTTGTTTGTTTTTCACTCTCTTGTGAACTGCTATTTCCGGGGTGCCTTGATAGTCGAAGCAGACTTAGTGCTGCTGAAGCTAGAGAGGTGAGCAGAGTAAGCCTGATTCCCTGTAATGACTTCTCTCTTGATATCCACCCCTTGGCGCTCATATGAACGTATGCAGTTGCCAGCGCCGTAAAACCTTACTAAAAAAAAACAATATTACAGCGTTGCAGCCTGTTAAGCAGATGTTGTTATCTTTCATAATAATATTTCCCGTCCCGACCTACTTTCAAGTATCCATTTACTGCTGTCTGTGGTGTAGCAGTTTCAGCACTTCGCTGTTGCACGCACAAGACCAGAGTTCGATTCCTGAGTGGGGAGAAGCTTTTTGTTTTAGGTTGTTTTTTGTGAGGGGTGGGGGGGGTTGGGGGGAGGGCGTTTTGAGTTATTAAGACCACGGGTTCAGAAACCAAATTAATGTTCTATCTGCTCTAACAAAATCGTAAGATTATTCGGAGTCGTTATCAAGATATCCAAAGAATTGCTTTCGAAAATACTTGACATTTTTGTAAAACTTAAAATTTTTACGTAACACTACCCAAAACTAGGTATTGAGCAGATAGAATTTTGCAAATCTAGGGTAACATAATGTTAAGTGTATGTGGGGGACACGGTGTTTTTATATAGAGAAGGGTGGTCACTGGGGTGTATCCTTGAATAAGACACGCAAACCTGCCACAGACAACGTCTTAATTTTACAAAGCGCCACACAGTGGCGATCAGCTATAGTGCGAGGGTTTTGTATGTATGCAATATTGTGTATAATCATTCATGCGATTTATGTATTGATGTATAATTTGAGTAGTTTTGTACGGCATTGTAAACTTACCACGGGGACCAATGAAATGAAATTTATTTGAAGTGTATTATCTACATTCATTTGGTCGCTTTTAAGGACAAGCAGGCTAAACCAGATTTCGAGGGTTTCCCAGAAATCTTGACCTACACCAAAAGTGGGCATTGGGGGGGGGGATAAATCTAAGTTACCGG